TCAAGAGGTGTCCACTGGTCCATATGTTGACTTGCGTAATTATGCAGGAAGTGAACGGCCAAGTACTGACTATGTCGATGTAGCTGGGCAGTCTAGTGTATCACTACCTGGTTGTACATCTGAAAGTGAAGGTCTGAAGGTATGTTTCACACATTCTTGGAATACCCTTTATTTAGGTTATTTTGTTTATTCTTTGATGTAATCCAAATCCCAACCTTAATGTGACAAAGTTCATAACTGTCAGGATTTAGCAAGTGGTAGTACATTGAAAAACGATTCAAGATCCCCAGCTGGGGGTCCTCTAAGCTCTTCAAGTGGCCAAAACACCGTGGTGAGAGAAGATGAGAAGAGAAGTGCTCCACAATCCAGTGAGAAGCAGGCTGAGGGTGCGAAGCTGTTCCACTTGGTTTAGGACTTGGAGTTTTGGAGCGTAAGGTATAATATTTTTACATCTATTTCATTGCTTTCGAAAATAAAATAAAAATTTACGTACCAAATTTATGCCCCATCACGGGCTTGATATTTCAGCTGTTAATTAAAGTAAAAATCCATGGCCATATTATGATGGATGTATAGTGCTTGGGGAAGCAATTAAGAGTGCAAATACTACTGGTTTGTTTTCAGGCTCTTACATATAAAAACAAAACAAAAAATATATATATATATGCGGTCAACTTTAATTTAGGTTGTTACTGAAACTGTGTATCATTGATCCAATCAGAGACAAGCCAGGCAGCCAAAACCGTCAACCAAGAATGGAGATGGCGGAACAACTAGTGCTCCCATCAATCAGAATCAGCAAGTAATAGGTGGCCAGCAAGTTTTGCAATCCCTTGCGTCTCGTGGTTCTGCTGCAAGTAGGATGAACTTAAATGATGCACCTGAAAGACAAACGGCCCCTGCTGTTGGTCAGGTCAGAGATGGTAGAACATTGGGAGGGCAAGGTCCTCTTGGCCAAGTTGATATGGGAAGCATGATGTCTCAGGTTCTGCAGAGTCCAGCCCTGAATGGTCTGTTGGCAGGTGTTTCAGACCAAACTGGAGTGGGTTCTCCCGATGTATTGAGGAATATGTTACAGAGCTTTACACAGAATCCACAGATGAGGAGTGCTGTCAATCAGATTGCTGAACAGGTTGACGGCCAAGATTTGGGAAACTTGTTTGGAGGAGGCCAAGGTGGGGGGATCGATCTGTCCAGGATGTTCCAACAAATGATGCCCATTGTAACTCGTGCCCTTGGGGCTGGATCGCCCCCCGTCCGGCCATCCTCTGCTTTGGCTCCTGAATCTCATCCGCCCCACAATGAGCGAAGTCTCAGTAGAGATGATAATATCCCTAATTCTGAGGTTTGTATAACTTGTCTATTCATCAATGTCTTGGATCAACATTTCACTTTTTTGGGACATGATATTTTCGTTTTGTGGCCATAAAGGGTTATGATTTGTTTCTGAATTGAGCCATAAATTGTAACTTCTAATAGCTCTTTTTCTTCATGCTTTAGATTAACCTCGAAGAAGTGGTTCAGAGAATTGAGAACCTGAATGCACCAGGAGAAGTTTTTCATGCTTTAGTTGAAAATTCGGTGCAGCTGTCTGGCAGAGGAAGCGGTTCTCAAGAACTTGTGGATGAGTTGTGCAGGGACGAGAGTCTCTCCAGCGTATGTGCTATATATGCTTGTCGTTTGTGCGAGGTGCTAGTCTTGAGATTAATCCGTACTGTATGTAAACAGATCTCTCTTTTCGGCTTTTGCAGGAATATGTTGAAATGTTAAGTAGGGACATACGGCGACGACTTGAGGGTGATTCGGGGAAGGACAAGTGCTAATACTGCCTTGCAGGCGGGCAGGTGTTGCTGTGGATAGGACATGGTTTCCATCGGAAGGGTCCTGGGTTTACTTGTGTTTTAGAGTTGTCATTTGAGATTTGTTTTACTGATTGATCAGAATGTCGATGTACAAATTAGGATTGGGGCTTTGATTTGCTTTGCTTTGCTTTGGATGTACCATTTGGTTCGTTGTTCGAACCGGTTTTATAAATTTTTAATTGATTTCTATTGCAAACACAAAGTCAGTTGTGAATCTGAGTTAATACGGATGAGCTCCTCTAAACTTTTACGATAACTGAATTGCTAATTTTAGTTTTTCTTGCGAATGTGACATTTTGTTGACGTATAAAAGTTGATTGTGCGCATTTGTACATTGTACGTGATGAATTCAGCAAAGAAATTATATTTTAATAAACAATGTTATGCCGTATTTTATATCATCTCCAACTAAGGGAGTCAAATGGTCATAAGGCCAAACATAGCTCTTTGACAAAAAATCATTTCCAACCGAGGGGCCAAAGGGCCATAGACCAAATATAATTTATTATTTTAATTGAATTAATATGGTTAATTAAATTAAACTATCATATTAAAATAAGGTTTTAGACATATTTTGAGTGCCATTTGTCGCCAAATGAATAAGTCTCCAGATTTCTTATCTTTATATAATCTCAATAATTTTTCGGATAAGATTTCGAGTGACACGTGTCGCTAAAGTGAATAACTCTCCATATTTCTTATTTTTATGTAATCTCAATAATTTTTCGAATAAGAAGATGAATTGGCGTAGACGAGACGAGAAGATGATGAGTCCGATAAAGAAGATGAAGCATGGCGCAACACAATATATATGGCAGCAATGGCTGGGGTCATGGCGTGTGAGGAAATTGAAGAACAATCTCAATAAGGTGGCTCTGTTGGTGGTCACTCTTACAAATCACGAAATAAAGAGATCGCATATGAGATTTTGATGAACAACTACTTCAACTCCAACTCGGTGTACACAGAAGAGGATTTCAGACGTCACTTCCAGATGAGGCGTCATGTCTTCGAGTGTTTACTTTATGGTGGCCAACATGTCAATCCATACTTTCGACAAAAGATGAATAGAGCAGGCCACCCTGGTTTTTCACCTCATCAAAAGGTTATTATTGCACTCCAAATGTTGGCCTATGCCTCTCCAGCTGATGCGAAAATATATAATAGACCTAATTTGCCTTTGGATCCAAGAACTGATAATATCTCTTTAAATGAGTACATAAGGTGTCACAGAATGATACGTTCGCGTGCCATAAACAAGTACCAACAATAGGATTTTGTTGCACATCTTTGGGCCAAAAAAACAATGGAGTAGGTGTTTAAGTTTTATATTGTTAAATGTTTTGTTTAATGTTGTTTAAGTTTGAATAACTCCCCCAAGTGGTAATAGGGTGGAGATTGTGTTGTTTTCCATCTTGAAGAACAACTCTCGTGGTTTTGGAGATTTAGTGGAATGGTGCCTTCATAGAAATCATAGTACTTTTTGGACGTACGAGTCCAAACACATTCACTTGTTTGAGAACTACCATTGACACTATCTTCTGAAATCTATCTATAAGCCCTACAAAGAGCTTCATCTTCTTTTCGGGTTCAAGCCCTTCATTTCATTGCAAATGTGGCCATTTGAAAATTATTGAAAAAATTAAAGGAAAGATTATTGGAAGAGATTGAAATAAAATGAGGTAAACCAATGCTTGGTGGTTCAAGTGATAAGGAGCTTGTTCCTCTTAAGTAAGATCTTGAGTTCGAGCCTTGTGAATGGAGAAGCCAGCATTGGGAGAGCTTGCCCCCCGAATGGGGTCCGACTCAACTTGAGGGATTAGTCATCGCCTAAGTGCAGGAGATACCTTGGATTCATCCAAAAATAAAATAAAGTGAGGAAAGATAGTATGGAATAGTGAAAAATATGTGAGAAATGGTTTAGGTATTTATAGGAAAAAAATTAGATTTTTTTTGGCTTATTATATTAACACCCCACAAATTGTTGAATAAACCCCACATACTTAATACACCCCACATTTACTTTTTCAATTAAAAATTATCTTTATACACCCCACATACCTCTCCATAATACCCTCACACTCCACATTCTCAAAATACACATTATATTTCTATATACACCCCAATTTCTTCAAATTTTATAATACTCATTTTTAATTTTGATGGATTGAATCTAGATACCCTGCTGTTCCCAGGCTAGTTACTTCTGTGATTGACTTGTTTTTCGTTTCCAGTTTGAGAGCATATTATCATTCACCGATTTGGACGCTAACACTTATCTTAAATTTTTTTATCTTTGTGCATTTTGGAAAATCTTATGTCACTTCCAAACTCAAGAATTATCCAAACTCAAGATCTTATGTAACTTTTCTATAACAAAAGAAATACAAAATAAAAAATAATTATCGAAAGTTTCAAGTTGTTGGCATTGCAATTTATAGAGCTAGTTTCAAAGGCATAAGTTCTAAAGTTTTTCGACATAGTAAATACCGGGATGTGATAAAATGTGTGGTTGGAGAGAAAATAATTTCTTGCAGTCACAGTGATCAATAGCATTGGCATATTCATAGACATTTTGTTAGGGTTTTCTCAATCAATGTGTTTGTAGTTTCATTAGTTGGGATTTTGTTCAACAATGGAGGGTGAGATGGTTTTGATAATCGAAGAAGATAAATAATACGTTAAAAGTGATGTGGGGTGTATTTGGAAATTTTTTTTTTTTTAAAACTTAATAAGGTCGAAATTGTCATTACATAGTAGAATAAATAAGTAATTTAATATTGAATATTTTGTGGGGTGCATTCAACAATATGTGGGGTGCTAATAAAAAAAGCCTTTTTTTTTTTTAAATTCGTCCCAAAAAAAAAATTAATTCAAACGGTAACTTGATGGCATCATGATGTCAACTAGCTGTTGGCATTTAAATGGGCTTTGGACTGACAATTTGGTGCTAGAAGGCTAGGCCGGAGGACTACCTGGCTGGAAATAGCCAACCCGATTGCCTGATTTGGGAGTTTTAGTCCAGTAGGATCCACAAGCTCTTTAACCTAACCTTCAATCGGAGATGATTTTTTGTATCATTCCTTGGGCCGAGTCTGGCCCATGGAAAGCAGCTTCGTAAATATTTGTAGTTTCCAAAATTGTGCGTGTGTTTTGAAAGTAAGGAAGAAGAGGCGAGCAGAACAAAAACTATAACTGGGAACATTCGTTATTGGTTCACAGATCCTGAGCTTCGACCCGAGTGTCGTCACGTTCAATGGAGTCATCAGCCGACGGCAAGCAGAAGAAGGCGGGGGGCCGCCAGTGCTGCATCTGTCATGAGAGACGGGCCGCCCTCAAGAGACCCAAAACCCTAGAGCAGGTAATATCTCCTACTGAGGTTTGATTTCCAGTAAGCTGATATGAGAGGCATGGACTCATAAACTGTATCTTGCGGTTGTAAAACCGTAGAATTGAATTGAAATCGGTTATTGTATGTGAAGATTTGCAGGGAGTGTTTCTACAAGGTGTTTGAGGAGGAGATTCATCAGGTCATCGTCGAAAACCAGTTATTTAAGCCTGGTGAGCGCATTGCCCTCGGTGCCTCCGGCGGCAAGGTAAACTAATTAATCAAGCTGTAATTGGAGTGCTAGTGAGTGGTGATGAATTATAATGCCATACTGGATTGTGTATGTTATGTGGTCCTTAACTTCCTTCTGCTCATTGCCTATTGTGTTATTTGCTGCCTTCAGATTCCACTGTCCTCGCTTACGTATTATCCGAATTGAATAGGCGGCACAATTACGGTCTGGATCTCTTCCTCTTGTCAGTGGATGAGGGCATTACTGGCTACAGGGACGATTCTCTTGAAACCGTCAAAAGAAATGAAATCCAGGTCAGGTGAATTTTGACTATGAACTTTCAGTCATGTCTAATGCCTTATGTTTCTCTACTTTTAAGCTTTAATTGACTTTCGTTCGAAATCTCTACTTTCAGTATGGTTTGCCGCTGAAAATAGTCTCGTACAAGGATTTGTATGGGTGGACCATGGATGAAATAGTAAAGATGATTGGTCTCAAGAACAATTGCACCTTCTGTGGTGTTTTTCGTCGTCAGGTATTTGGCTGTCTTGGAAATTGGTGTTTTTCATTTTCTAGGCATCTTATATGGATGTATTTAGACACGATTGGGCATTCAAATTTTTTTTTACGATATATTATTTCCAAATCAACATGGTTATTGCACAGAAACTTATGGTGCTTGTTACTTAGTTTTGAATGAGTAATTAAAGCACTAAACTGGTCATTCAAACTTTCTGCTGATAGCACCTACAAAGGCCGTCATTTGTGAGCTTTCTGTGTCTTTAAGCATGAAGGGCATGATCAAATTCTATTGGTTGGTGAGAGATTATAAGGAACAATTCAACTTAATGGATATATCTATTTACTTCTCAGGCCCTTGATCGTGGCGCTGCACTGTTGAAGGTAGACAAGCTTGCTACTGGACATAATGCAGATGATATTGCTGAAACAGTTCTATTGAACATTTTACGAGGTGACATTGCAAGGTAATGCTTGTTCATATTTCATTGATGTTCTTTTTGTCCCCCCTTAAGTTTGCAAAGTGAACTGAGTTGCTGGTTTTATTTTGTAGATTAAGTAGATGCACTTCAATTGTCACTGGTGAAGACGGGCCAATTCCAAGATGCAAACCTTTTAAATACACCTATGAGAAGGAGATTGTTATATATCCTTGCTGCTGAAATATTCAATACTGATTTTTTTTTTCTTCCCCTTTTTCTTTCATCACCGTTATTCATCTTAATGCTAAGTTGGAATTGTTTGCAAAGCCTTAACTAATTTTGCACGTATGCATATTTCAAGAGGCTGGACTACTTCTCCACTGAATGTAATTTATCTTTTCTTTAGGCTCTTTTAAATAGTTCTCTCAAGTCTTCCTCGGTTATTTTCCCTCCGCTCAACCACCCTTGCCACTATATTTCTATGTTTAATGCTTTTACAATTAGATCTCAGAAGACATTTTTGTCAAATTGCAGGCATTTATTCACCCAATGCGTATCGTGGTTTTGCTCGTGAGTTCATCAAGGATTTAGAAAGAATCAGGTGAGTGCCTTGCTGAGAGAATGTTTCGCTGGTTGGCGATGTAGATTTCACAAAAAAAAACAAAAAAATTATATTACATCTTCAGTATGCACATTCTGTACTCCTAGTTTGACATTTTACTGGACTTCTTTCAACTGAAGACCCAGGGCAATACTTGACATCATCAAATCAGGGGAGAATTTCAGAATTTCAACTTCAACAAAGATGCCAGAACAGGGGACATGTGAACGGTGTGGTTACATTTCCAGTCAGGTAAGTTTGTTACTAGTTTCACCCCTGCGATACGTGACATGTGGTTGAGATATCTGATTAATGTTAGACTCGTTTGCGTTCGTTACTTGGGTAGAGTTTGGTTAGAGAATCTGAACATTTGTTGTTTTATTGTGCAGAAATGGTGCAAGGCCTGTGTTTTGCTTGAGGGGCTGAATAAGGGTTTGCCAAAGCTGGGAATTGGCCGGACTCGAGGACTTAATAACGATGACAAGAAGGATGCTAAGGAAAGAAATGGAACAAAAAGTATCGAAAGCAAGCAATGTGGAAGTTTGGATTTCTGATTAAATCTGCAGGATATACAGTATAAAATCATGATAGACAGTAATGATAAAGCTAGGTTGGGATATTCATTGCAACTCTTGTAATGGTTTGGTTTTAGCGTTATCCGTAGCTTAGCATATTTACCCTACGAATACGATTATTTTGTGTAATTTCCAATTTTGTCACAAGATAAAATCAGCTGCCTCACCACACCAGGCTCACCTTCTGGAGAGATTTCTTTGTGTGCTGGAAATACAGTTCGGTGCATCAAATGTAAAATACAATTGTTGAAAATTAAAAAAAAATAAAAATTCTATCAAATGGTATTATTACAGTTGGTATACCGACTATGTTTTCGTTATACTGAAATTTCTTCACCTTCTGATCTCCTTCACATTATTTCATGTAAAGGAAACTACACATGTTATTTTGTGGGACAGGATCCTCTCCGGAACATATCTGTCCGGATCCTGCGGAAGCCACAAAACCCAGTTTCGTAAGCCTCACGGTGATCTCCACCTTCACAAAGCCTTTACCATCATGAAAATCAGAAACCAAATATCGGAGAAGCTTTCCGGCGACCTTCACAAAACCAAATATCGGAGAACCCGTTAACGGGTCGGGTTGCTCTATTCCTCTTTCTCAAACCGGTACTGGCGGATGTGCGGTGCCCCTAATCCGAGGAGGGGCTCAGCGGGAAGAGTTTGGTAGTTGGTTCCATTCGCTCGACTGAAAGAGCGGGAGCTCCATTTCTTCCGTTAACAACCCGTTAAATAACGGGTCATTTTGGATCAACCCGTTAGACCCGTTAGAACCCGTTAGCACCCGTTAGTTAATGATATTTTAGTAATTTTAGTAAAGACTTAATGACAAAAATTAAACTTTATGTAAAAATTAAAAAAAAATAATAATTGTTAACGGGTGAAACGGGTGATCCGTTAGCTTAACGGGTTGGGTTCGGATGACCCGTTAACTTAACGGGTCGGATTCAACCCGACCCAAACTCAATAAACCCGACCTGTTTACAGGTCTACTGCTGGGGGACAAAGCAGTATCGAAATTTTGGGGTGGCAGACTTCTTGTCGGGGCTCGCTTTTTGTACTTCAGACGGCGACGATGGTGGGGATTTGGGGGAGGAAGGTGGAGATCACTGTGAGGCTTACGAAACTGGGTTTTGTGACTTGATCTGGAGGATCCGGAGAGGATCCTGTCCCTTATGTTCTCCTACAAACGACACATATTTTTATGTCGTAAGAAATACATATTTAAACCTCATTTTCATATGGGACCCTCGTCAGTTCGTCACACTCGCGCAGCGGCAGCGCTCTGTGTAACAGAGTTTCCGTCGTCATGGCATCATCAGTACCGCCAAGCTCCTCCGCGGGCGTCCAGAACTCAAAGAAATCGTTGGGGTTCATAGCAAATGCTGTGAAGCGCAAGGACAGCTTCATCCAGTTCTTCGCAATGACTGGAATTCTGCTGCTGAGCGTCAGATCGTTGGGCCAGAAGTACCGCCTCCACAATCTTCAGGAGGACACGACGGCTCTCAAGGAGGAGCAGGAAGCCCTAGCCGAGCGCACGAGGAACATCAAGCGGGACCTCCTCCACGAGGCCTCTCTCGAGCCCACTGGTCTCTTCGCTTCCAGGCTTCGCCTTCTCTTTGGCGAACGAGAGTGATCGCACTGTGAGTTCAAGTTCTGAGGATTCCTTCTCTTTATTGTTACTCTATGTAGCTATTTGATACGAAATACATTTGATAAGTTGGATGCTCAATTTTTGTGGCTTCGCGATTAAGAATTGTTGTGGACCTACCTAGGGTTTTTGTGTGAGAGTTGGGGTTTAGGATTCTTAAGCAGAATGCATGCTGATTTGTGTTCTACTTTCGATCAATTGCTAATTTGAATGTGACAAGGAATTAATATTTCAAATAACTTGTTGAACACTCTGCTCAATTTGAGTTTTGTTGATTGTAAGTGAATGGGGGATTTGTATTGTTTGCTTAGATTTCTTGCACTTGGTCCTTGGTTATAGGTTTTTACATTGAAATTTGACCGACTTTTGGTTGAGAAAGTGTCGCGTGTCATGTGTTTTCTTAAGTTTTGGCAGATTCTGATCATGTGATGAATTTAGCATGTTATCCGTTTTCAAAATTTCTAGGTAAAGTTAAGGGTTGTCTCTTAAAAGTATGTTTCAGTTTCATGTTTCCTTATAATGCTCAAGTAGACAGCGAATCTTGTGTTATGTTTTGGTTCGTTTCTGTGTCTGGATATTTGAGGGTTGATGCGTTGGACAACCTGCATCTAGTTCTGTACCACTACCATCACACTACACTCTGAACATCTCTAATTGAGTAAAACTTCTACTACCGGTTTCATATCCATCCTATCTTTCTACTCTCGTGGCCAATGCTTTTCTGCCCCAATTCATAGAATTTCTGTCATGTTCAAGCTTGTGTTGCCATATCATTGATTTGTGTGCATACGCACACATTGGCTTCTGCACCTTTGAAGCCGGTACTTCATTCCTTAACATCATCCGCAAACAAGCAAACTCATTGAACTTTGTGTGTTGTATGATTGGTGTGAGCGAATAACTTGTTAGCCTATGTATTCAACAATTCAGGTCGGAATACACTTTGGGTCCTTGCCTGTAAGCAGGTGTTCCTCCTTGTAGACGATTTAGATATGTGGTAGAACTTGTCATTTTCTAGTTTCATTGAGAGATTTTGATATGTGTAGAACTGTAATTGACACTGAAGGAGGAATGACTCATTATAAGTAACAAGCCAAGCGGTGTTCATTGGGTTTTACTATTATTTTCTTTGGTACATAAACATAGAGGTCTTTTACCATGAGTCGAAATTGCTTTCCCTTGCACGCATTTCACTCAATGATTCTGGGGGATTGGTTTGGTCTCTGTTTTCATATGGGCCTTCAATAGTATGAAATGAATGCATTGAAGCTGTTGGGAGGGTCAGTTTGAGGAGAGATTTTTGTGTGTGTGTTAGGAACACAGTCTGGTACATCAAGTGTTATAATCCATTTTGAAACCCTCTTATGTTGTGGGGATCTTAGGAATCTTCACATCTTAGCCGTTCATTGTACATCGTGCAGTCAAATTTTGTCAGATACTTTTGTGTTTAATTTTAAATATAAAAAAAGTCAAATGATTTATAAGCGCACGATACCTGATGAATGACTAAGATGTGAGAATTCCTAGGATCTCCACAAAGTGGATCCGGATAAGATCCCATTCCATGAAAGTAATAGAGTGTTGTGTATCTTATTTGAATTTTGAGAATTGATCAGCTTAGTTGTAGGGCAAGTAACTTTTGTAGCTTTCACACCCATTTTCCGTGTGTGTGTGTGTGTGTGTGTGTGAGAGAGAGAGAGAGAGAGAGAGAGAGAGTAGGGATTAGGTTGTGTGATGATTGAGATTTGAGGGCAATGGTTTTTTTTTTGGTCAATTGATTTGAGAGCAATGTTATGTCGTAGAGAATAGGGATTAGGTTGCGGGATGATTGAGATTTGAGAGCAATGATTGTTTGCATGTCGTATTACTTTTTGTGGGCCTCACTGCGTACATGATTGAGTCCAACATAAGTTTTAAATCTTTTTTGAATAAATGTTTTTGTGGAACAGCTGTCTTGTGCTGTGTTACGTTACTATGTCTATACCATGGCCTCAACATAGATTTGGTTCTTTTTGAGATTGTATGGTTTGAATTCAACATGCCAACTAATCATGAGAATATTTTTGCTTACTACCTTTAAGTTATGATGGTGATGCCTTATCCTATTTATGAGTTTAAATTTCGAGATGAATAGACATAAATTTCAAAATTTAAAGTTATTCAATGATAAAGTAGGGTATGAGCATTGAGCATTACCACTAGGGATGGGCAACAGTTATGGCGGGCGGGTAACCATGATTATTTACCCATAACCGTTTATGTTCATACCCGTATAACCGTTTACCCGTTGGGTAATTGCCTAAATGGTTATACATATACCCATAACCGTTTATAAACGGTTAACCATACCCATAACTGCATACCCATTTAACCGTAACCGTTTAATACTCATTTACCCCGTTTATCTTTTGTTTTTTTACCATTGCCTCTTTTTCACCCGCCTACATGTTTTTTAACAACTTAAAAATTAAAAAAAAATTGTCATAACTTTCTTTTTTTTTGATAATTAAACACCGTTATAGGTACATTCATCATAAATTTTAGTATTTTAATTTTTTTAAGTTCTTATACCATTCCAACAATTAAAATAATAGTTTACGGACGATATTTTTAACGTTAAAGGGTAAATATGAATATTTCGGAATTTTTAACATTCATTACCCCTGTAAAAACATTTTTTCAATTTCTTATTACATTTGGCAAGAATAATTTTTATTATTTTTAATTTTTGTAGCAAGAATTTCACCATTCAAAATTTTTAATTAATTTAATTTACGGACAGAATATTTTTAACTGTTATCAATGAAAGCTAAATATAATATTTGCTAAGTATTATTGGATTACATAAACATTATTTAAGACATTTCGTGGTTCGCATTTAACCCATAAGCAATTTCACAGTTACTCGTTAACCTAATAATTATAAGTTAAAAATTTGGATAACCGCGGTTAACAATAACCAATAATATTGAATGTAACCGTTTAATTACCACACTTAATTGGATGGTGAGCAAGAGCAAAAATGCACCCTCTAATCATGGTTAATGGGACCTACTACTACCCAACAAGGCAAAGTAATCAAACATTATCAATTAATTCGTTGGGTTTGGGGCCGCATTTGAATTCTAATTTAGAAACATGTGTTGCCGCGCTGTGTGCCTTGTCCCGTGAATCCTAAATCTGCTATCTTATCCCTAAATTTGGTAAATTTGAGTGATAACTTCTACTATTCTTCTTGCATTGTGGGAAGGAAAGAATGAATGGGTATAAGATCAACCAGTCTCCTAAACGAAGCGAATTCTGATTTTAGGTATTGGGTTACGAATTTTAATGTACAACTCATACTTTTAGTTTATTTTATGTATTAGTCCAATTCATATTCGACCGTTGGTAAACATGTCATTAGTGACTTTGGTCGGACTTTCTTGCATGATTATTTGGGCTAAGACAATATAAATTAATAAACAGTAACTTAATTGGCAATCATTTAGAAAATAATTCTTCAAACATGATATTTAATAAGAAGTTATTTACTGTAAAAAATTTAACAAAATTTTCTTTGTTACGCTGCACAAGTGAAATAATAGGGATAATGTGAAAATCTTTTTATGCAGAGAAATATTCTTATTGGGTACTACAATT